GAATGCTATGTCACAATTTAGAGAGCAGTACATGAATCCTCACCATTTTTTGCACATATTTTGGGCATTAAGGATCCATTTCAAAAGAATTAGGCAATTTTCTCAATTTTTCATGTGTGTTAGCCAATGAATATTTTGGTGATATGACTTCTGAATTATTTTTTTGCAAAACCTTTATGGAATTCCCCGTAGGGAGTTGAGGGAGAAGTACATGAAGCCTCGTAATTTTTGTGCATTCAGGAGTCATTCTACATAAATTATGCGATTTTCTCAGTTTTTCGTGTGTTTTTAGCCCATAAATATTTTGGTGATATGATTTTTAGACATTTTTTGCAAAACCTTTATGGAAACCTCTCCATAGAGAGTTGGGGAAAAGTATGTACCTCACTTTCCCCACACATATTTTGGACATTAGGATCCATTTTACATGAATTAGGTGATATTTCTTTTGGATGATATTTTTGCAAAACCTATGTAATCCTTTATAGGGAGTTGGGAAAGCAATACGTGAAGCCTCGCCATTTTTTGCACATATATTGGACATTTAGGAGCCATATTACAGGAATCGGGTGATTTTCTCACTTTTTTGTGTGAGTTATCCCATGAATTTTTTAGTTATATGGCTTCTAGATGGTTTTACAAAACCTTTACGCAACCCTTTGTAGGGAGTTGTTTGAACAGTACGTGAAGTCTCACCATTTTTACACATATTTTGGAAATTTATGAGCCATTTTACAGGAATTAGGTGATTTTCAAATCTTTTTGCATGTGTTAGGCCATAAATAGTTTGATGATATGGCTTTCGGATGAGTTTTTTATAAAAAAATTTACGAATCCTGTAGGGGGTTGGGGGAGCAATACGTGAAGCCTTATCATTTTTTGCACACATTTTGGACATTTAGAGCCATTTATTGGAATGAGGCGATTTTCTCAGTTTTTCGTGTGTTAGCTCATGAATATTTTGATGATATGATTTCTGGACGATTTTCTTGCAAAATCTTTACGGATCCATCCGTAGGAAGTCGGGGGAGCTATATGTGAAGCCTCACCATTTTTACATATATTTTGAATATTAGCCATTTTACAGAAATTAGGTGATTTTCTCAGTTTTCATATGTGTTAGCCCAACAATATTTTAGTGATATGACTTTCAGATGATTTTTTTTGTAAACCCTTACTGAAACCTTCGTAAGGAGTTAGGGGGAATAGTGCATGAAGTCTCACTATTTTGACACATATTTTAAACATTAAGGATCCACTTTACAGGAATCAAGTGATTTTCTAGTTTTTCATGTGTGCCGACCTATTAATATTTTGGTGAAATGGCTTCTGGACAATTTTTTTGCACAACATTTACGAAACACTCTGTATAGAGTTGGGTGAGTAGTACGTGAAATCTCACCATTTTGGCACATATTTTTTTTATATTTAGGAGACATTTTACAGGAATTAGGAGATTTTCTTAGTTTTTCATATGTGTTAGCCTAAGAATATTTTGGTAATATAGCTTACTGATGATTTTTTTGCAAAAAAATTACGGAACCCTATTTAGGGAGTTGGGGAGCAATACATGAAGCCTCACCATTTTCGCATATATTTTGGGCATTTAGGATCCATTTTACATAAATTAGTGATTTTCTCAATTTTTCGTGTTTGCTAGCCTATGTATATTTTGGTGATATGACATCTAGAATTTTTTTTGTAAAACTTTTAGAACCCTCTGTAGGGAGGTGGGGGAGCAACACGTGAAGTCTCATCAATTTTGGCACATATTTTGTGCAGTTAGGAGCCATTTTACAGGAATTAAGTGATTTTCTCAAATTTTCATGTGTGTTAGTCCATCAATATTTTGGTGATATGACTTCCGGATGATTTTTTTGTAGAACCTTTACAGAACCCTCTATAGGGAGTTAGGAGAGCAGTACATGAAGCCTCACATTTTTGCACATATTTTGGGTATTTATGAGCCATTTTTACAAGAATTAGGTGATTTTCTCAATATTTCATGTGTTAGCCCATGAATATTTTGGTGATATGGCTTGTGAACGATTTTTTGCAAAACATTTATGGAACCCTCTATAGGGAGTTGGGGAAGTAGTACACTAATTTTTGCACATATTTCAGACATTTAGGATCCACTTTAAAGGAATTAGGTGATTTTCTAAGTTTTTCTTGTGTGTTAGCCTATGAATATTTTGGTGATATAACTTTCATACGAATTTTTTACCAAACTTTTTAAGGAACCCTACGTAGGGAGTTGGGGAGTGTAGGAGAGTACGTGAAGCTTCACAATTTTTTACACATAATTTTGGACATTTAAGAGCCTTTATACGAGAATTAGACGATTTTCTCATTTTTCTTTCATGTGTGTTAGTCCATCAATATTTTGGTGATATAACTTTCATACGAATTTTTTACCAAACTTTTTAAGGAACCCTACGTAGGGAGTTGGGGATGTAGGAGAGTACGTGAAGCTTCACAATTTTTACTACATATTTTGGTACATTTAAGTAGCCTTTATTACGAGAATTAGACGATTTTCTCATTTTTCTTTCATGTGTGTTAGCCTATGAATATTTTGGTGATATAACTTTCATACGAATTTTTTACCAAACTTTTAAGGAACCCTACGTAGGGAGTTGGGGATGTAGGAGAGTACGTGAAGCTTCACAATTTTTACACATATTTTGGACATTTAAGAGCCTTTATACGAGAATTAGACGATTTTCTCATTTTTCTTCATGTGTGTTAGCCTATAAATATTATGGTGATATGACTTCTGGACGAGTTTTTTGAATTTTTTTATGGAAACTTTCGTGAGGAGTTGGGGGAGCAGTGCATGAAGCCTCACCAATTTTTGCACATATTTTGGACATTTAAGATCTATTTAATCGAAATTAGGTGATTTTTTTTTTATTTTTTTCGTGTGTGTTAGACAATAAATATTTTGGTGATATGATTTCCGAATATTTTTTTTGTAAAACCTTTACGGAACTTTCCTTATGGAGTTAGGGGAACAGTGCGTGAAGCTTCACTATTTTTTGCACATATTTTGGAAATTTATGATCCATTTTATAGGAATTAGGCAATTTTCTCAATTTTTCGTGTGTGTCCGCTCATTAATATTTTGGTGATATAATTTTCAGATGATTTTTTCTTGCAAAACCTTTGAGGAACCCTCCGTAGGGAGTTGGTAGAGTAGTTTGTGAAACCTCACCATTTTTGCACTTATTTTGAGCATTTAGGAGCCATTTTACAAGAATTAGGCAATTTTTGCAATTTTTCGTGTGTGTTAGCCAATGAATATTTGGTTGATATGAATTTTGGACGATTTTTTGTAAAACCTTTACAGAATCCTCTGTAGAGGGTTGGGGGAACAGTAAGTGAAGACTCACCATTTTTTGCATATATTTTAGACATTTAAGATCCATTTTACTGGAACTATGCGATCTTCTCAACTTTTAAAGTTAGCCGATAATATTTTGATAATACAGCTTCCGGACGATTTTTGTTTTGCAAAGTACATATTTCATTAGACTCTTTCTTATACATATTATGTCCTTCTTAACGGTTAAATTTAATTATTCTATTTCATTTACAAAAAAAAATGATTTCTTGTTGATGGTATCTACCCTTCATGTACAATGTCTCCTATAAAGTAAAGGTGAAGGATTGAAACTTTCTCATTACTCTTTCTTTAAATTTGTCGATCAAAAGAATTGCAATAACTGCCAGAAGAAATATTTTTGTCAAACAAGAAAGCAAATTACAAAAAAAAGAAGCTAAAATCAAAATAAAAGTGTCATAAAAAAATATAAAACTCAAGGTAGTTGGATGATTTGGATGCGCCTCATAAAACTTGACCATATATGATCACTATATAATGAAAATAAAATTGAAATAAAAGACAATGAATGTTCTAGTCTACTCACGGACTCGATCAACAATGAATCTGCTTGATAATATTACTTTTGTTTACAAACTTATCAATCTAATTAATCTTAGACAAAACAAACAATAAGATTAATATATAGTAATGACAAATGAAAAAGTACTTTGGTACAAACATAATAATAATAATAAGAATAAAAATATAAATTTAAATTCAAATGATAATGTAAGTTATCATTTTTTTATATGTTGTGGTGAATAGAAAGATAGCCTGAAGTTATAACTTAAATAGTAATATGTAGGGGTGTACATGATTGGGTTGGTTCGGATTTTTCAAATATCAAATCAAATCATTTGTATAAACTTTTAAAATTTATAAACCAAACCAAACTAGTAAAATTCGGATTTTTTTAGGTTTTTCAAACTTGGGTTGGTTCGGTTTTTTCAAATACCAAACCAAATCATTGTGTCGAATTTTTAAATTTATAAATCAAACCAAACTAATAAACCTCGGATTTTTTTGGTAAAGTTTGCATACAAACATATAATTAACTTGTGCTCCAAATATTTCTTTAGTCCAACCAAAATACAATTATTTAAGGTGTTTCTTAAGAAAATAACACATAATATGAGATGAGTACTGATGACACTAAAATATTCAATAAAAAATAATAATGAAATCATCATATAAAATAAATATTGCAAAGTCATAATGAAAATGCACGTACAAAAAAACAGAGCAATTACGACGGTTTTTATAAGGATATTGCGGCGGTTTTAGCCGTCGCTACGAGTATTTTTGGCGGTTTCTCCAAACGTCGGAATTACGTCTGTCACAAAGTTATTGTAGCGGTTTTCCCAAAACCGCTGTAATTTCAATTTGTATAAAATGGCGGTTGATAATGGTATGTTGCGACAGTTATAAAACCGCCGCAATTGCATGTGTTAAAATTGCCTGCAATGGCAGTTTTAAACCGCCATAATGTGGGTTTAATGAACCAATTATTATTTCTTTTTATATTCTTATAATTTCATTCCATTTCTGCAACTGTTTAATGCTCAAAGCTTATATATTTGCTCTACAGTAGTATTGACACATACAAGAAAGATTAGTGAAACAAACCATTCATCATATATTGAAAACATAGCATTTCAAAACTACATAATAAATTCTAAATACATCAAGGAGTAATGTTTTACATTCATTCGAAGAAAATTAACCACATCATATTCTAAAAGTAACATCTGACGAGGATTCATTTGTGATCTTGGCTCTTAGATGAATAGGCGTCACCTGCAGCAAGTGTGATGAAACCGATATTTGTTTTTGAGTTGGTCTATAACAAAAGTGCTAGAATGTCGTGAAAGATATAACTATATATGATATGAGTATAGGGACATATATGATGAATTAGGCCCAAGTCTTTCTTACCCACGTTTGGGGGTGCTCCGACAGCAAGTGCTAACAGCTGGATATACACCTCCTTTTGTAGGGCCACCAATGGTGCCATCCTAGAATCAAAATAATAGCATATTAGCAAACACTATACAAAAGCAAGTCCCAAAGAAACCACAAGACATACGAGTGAGTCCATGGTTGTTCTATATTGACAGCCATCTAACAAAAACTTGAATTGTCCTTAGTTCTGCATCAGGGCGTGGTTCAAAGGACCCATATTAGGGAAAACATATGAGTGAGTCCATGGTTGTTCTATAAAGATAATGTCTGTATTAGGGCGTGCTCAACAAATCCAGATTAGAGAAAACATAGGAGTGAGCCTATTGTTGTTCTATAAATGATGATGTCTGCATGATGCATTACATATATCTTTCAAATGAAAACTACAAGATACACCTTCTCTATGCATTATACTAATTGAAAAACCCGTTCTTTCCTACTCTTCCGTTCAATTTGTTATCTTATATTTTTTTTAGCCCGTTCAAAAAAGAATGTCTTTAATATTTTTGACAATTTTTAAATTTATTTCAAATCCACAAAATTCAAAAGGTATTGTCTAATTACATAAACTCCGTGTAAAGTCAAAACAAGACAAACAAAATATAATGGAAAACTAACAAATCCCAAAATCACACATTTTCAGTGAAAAACTGTCTTGGAGATTTGTCTGTAATATTCACATAACACTATAGTAAAGTAAACAAGGGCAATAAACTTGCCTGGAAGAAATATGCCGCATGGCCACTCTTATTGAAGACGGAAGCAAGAATTGGACCATTGCAAGTGGCTGCAAATGCCACCAGTAACTCTCAGCATCAGTTAACATCAACGGAAGTTGGGATTTTAAAAGATTGAATCTTTTAAAGTGAATTCTGAAGTTACACTTTAGATCTAAGAAAACATTCAATAGCATTTTCATATTGAGAATTACTTTGAATATCCTCCTCTTTTACAGTAAGCATATAGAAAATTGTTAGAGACGTATGTAAAGAAAGAGAGAAGAGGCACTGACATGTTGTAAGCATTTTCTTCAATCGGTGATTTCAGAATGCAGATATTCAATCAACTATTTAAATAGTATTTATTTTGAGCAGGAAAATGGTTGATATCCTTCACACATCCATGTTGCGGAGTGTTTGCTAAACAATTTCTTAACCAACCTTAAACAATAAACCAGTTAGGAGAAAATTTATGTGCCATAAACATAAATACATTGATAGCATAAAGTGTTTGCTAAACAATTTCTTACGCATGAGAAGAAACATTTAACCTTAGAAGTGCTAACTGAAATTTAAATGTTGTATCTTAAGGAGTTAATTTCTAATATAGCTCTTTGAATCGATAAGGTGGCATAGAAATTCATTGTCCATCATGGTAAGCTTATAGTCCTTTGAAGAGGAAAATTTTTGTTACCTGAAAGTCCTAACCTCCTCAAATTCGGTATGAATCTGGACAAAACAATGAGAAAGAAAAAACCATCATTAAGAAAATTAGCGACATATTTGCCCATTTAGGTAGGAAAATGTTGCTTGTGAATTTCTTACCCCAGTTTCTTCCTTCACTTCTCTCACAACTCCTTGTAGGATCTCCCCGGACTGATTTTGACACACTGTTTAAAGGAGTAAGAGTATGGATATCATGTTTCAATACTTAAGTCAAAAGTGACTTTGCAATAAGGTAACATACCTCAAAAATGAAATCAGTTAATAGTTTTCCTGAAAGAGACGGAACAGAATCTCTCTCTTGCATGATGAGCACCTAAACTAGTAAGTTTATTAGGCTAAGAGACTACATGTTCCAACAAGATGAAAGTTCCAGTAGTAGTAATCTTTATTATTTTCAACATTCATTGAAAACTAAGATATGAAGAGAATATGATCAGATGCGAGTTCTAGAGCAATCTTCACAAGATAGTCCATCAGAAAGCCCTAAGAAAAGATCTCAATTGCCTACTAATCATGTGAATGTCATCTGAACTTATAATACCTTTATCTTATTAATGAAAAAAATAATATAATCCAATCCAATCGAAACCAAACAAACTAAATATTTATGAAGTGTACACAAGAAACAAAAAACAAAAATAGAAAATATAAAATAGGAAGGAACACATATTTACCCTTGAAGTGCAAGACTCGCAAAACCTCCATAAGAGGATGGCAACCTTGTTGTATTTTGTAGTACCTGAGCTGAATTCATCTCATTATCTGCAAATCCGGTCAAGTTAAATTACTTACTTGATCGCTGATGAATTCAAGTCAATTTATGATGCCAAATTTGTAATACCAAATTAAAAGCAAAGAAAGACTACAATAACATTTACTGTTCTTAAATTAGTTCTATTTTCAAACAACATAATTTGATAAAGATCCAATCCCCTGTGAGATGAGACTCGCAAGTCACTAGCCATAGACATGCAACTAAAACAAATAGCACCTCACTGGAATGGAATAGTGGTACAAGCCCAATAAATTCAAAAAATCAAAGTAAAGCACCTAATTTTCACTAAAACAATCCCTGATATTTAACTAAAACGCCTATTATCAATCTTCAGTACATAGTTTTCACACTAAAATGCAGAAAACTTACCGGTATTCTCATTAATAAGAGAAATACACTTCATGATGGAAAGTAAACTTGATATTGTTATTTCAGATTCAATCTTGAGCAATTTTGCGCTATATTACAGAAAATGAAACTGTCGAAATAAAAAATTCGATGGAAGAACAGTAGAAACCTGAGAAGCAAAGCAATAACAAACCAAATTGAGAGAACAGAAATCATGAAATAGAAACAATTGAAGAAATAGTGATTTTAAACCGGAAACGCTCTATCAACCCTCAAATCCAACCCGACTAACCTCTAACATCAACTCTGATCCAGCGAACTTCACCGGAGACCAAATCACCATCGATAACTATCGAGAGAAACTCGATCAATGGGGGAGAGGGAGAGAGAGAAAGAGGCAAATTTTAGTCTAGGGTTAATTGGGAGCGAATGTAAAATGGGTATTCTAATCTAATTTCTAAGTTGGCTTTTAAAAAAAAAAAAAAAAATATCTGCTTAATTTTAGGATAAGTTAGCGCTTCAAACCGCCATAATAGAATTGAAACCGTCGGTAAATAAATGACAAATGTGACGTTTTGATAAACTGCCGTAATATTAAGGATATTACGGCGCCTTTAGGAAACGCCGTCCAAAAACTGCCGTAATTACAAGGCTTTTTTTTTGTAGTGATGATCATAATTTAAAAGTACTAAATCATGCTAAAATAAGTTTAATAAGTATTAGTTATATTGCTAAATATTTAAGGATAATTAAAATTAAATTATATATTTTAATTGTCTAAACCAATGTAAAAACTAAAGAACAAATATTCAATATTATTGTCATTCTTAATGTTGAATTGATTTTCTTTTTGCATTAGTATTAATTTGATTTTGATTTAAGTTGTATTATAATTATCAACATCTATGAACTATAATCTTTATTGGACCATTCCGAATTCTAAGTTTTAAACTTGAAATAATATATTAAAAGATAATTGAAATAGTATAAGAAATATTTTTATGTATAAAATAAAATTTTAAAATTACATATATAATGTCGGGTTGGTTTAGTCTCGGGTTGTTTTTTTTTAGTTAAAACCAAACCAACTCAAATATAGTCGGGTTTTTTTCCAATACCAAACCAAGTCAAACCAAATCACTAGTCGGATTTTTTTCCGATTTGACTCGATTTGTGGTTTGGTTCGATTTTCAGTTCAATTTTGTACACCCCTAGTAATATGGAAGTAAACAAAATAAAATATATTGCATTTTATATACTATTCAATTAAACGTAATAGAAGATATTTTACAATAGGGAAAATGCATAAGTACCCCCCAACCTATGCCCGAAATCTCAGAGACACACTTATACTATACTAAGGTCCTATTACTCCCCCGAACTTATTTTATAAATAATTTTCTACTCCTTTTCGATCTACGTGACACTATCAACCAGATAACTTGAAAAAATTATCAACACGCGCTGGGCCCAGAAGATAGTGACACGTAGGCCGAAAAGGGGTAGAAAATTATTTATAAAATAAGCTCGGGAGGGTAATAGGACCTTAGTATAATATAAGTGTGTCTCGGAGATTTTGAGCATAGATTGGAAGGTACTTATGCATTTTCCCAATGTTAATATAGTAGTAATTGTTTTATTGTCATTGTTGTAATTTATTAGACTTTAATTTATTACTTTTTTTTTGGTTTTCCACCCGGTGTCCGGAGTCCACATTGGAGCTCCGATTAAATTCGGATCGCGCTCTGCAGGGCCCATTCGGGGGTGGCGCTCCCAACATAATTTTCTTCTTACCCAGGGCTCGAACTGGAGACCTCTGGTTAAGGATGAAGCACTCCCACCAGTGCCCCACGACCCATTTTGGTAGACTTTAATATATTACATTCACACTCATGAATTAATTATTGCTCCTTTAGCTTCCACCATAAAAGTTATCCGTTACTTTCTTTTACACGTTTTTGTGTGCTTTTGTTATTATTACACAGGGATTGTCAAAAAGTTTTTTACTTAATATTTTCCTACTTTTAGTATTTAGTATTACTATATATTTAATTAATTAGATATTTTATATATTTTCAATAATTTATAAGAGTAAAATGACATTTCAACTTTTAACTCGAGAGTCCGTTGTTTATCATATTGTATGCTTCCAAATTACTGCTTTATAATAAGTGTATGCTAAGATAAATTTAATAAAATTTGTTTTGAAATATGTACCATTAACTGCTCGTTTTAATTTGGATAAATAATCATAGATTTATAGTGGATAAATGTAATTAATGAAGAGTTGCAGTTAATGTCTATATATATATTGATATAATCATTGAATTGTGGATGTTTCTTTTCATCAACAACATAACGTAATGAACCTATTTAATGTAAGACTTAAAGTTGTGCTAACGTATTTGGTTAAAGAATGTAAAAGGGTGTTTTCTAAATCCTATAAAAGGGTAGTCTTTTCACCCTTATGAAATACACATTGAAGAGTTCAAAGAATACTTCTACTTAATATTTCTATTTGTCTTACCTCCTTGTTTAGTATTATAATATTTTGCTCTCACTTTACAACACATTATCAACACGAATCTCTAACCAACTGAGACCTACTAAATTCAAAATTAATTCCTAAAAGTTAATCAACTTTCTTTTAGTGTCGGGTATACATTTATGTGTTTATAACATCTCTAATAGGACTTGCATAAATATTTGATCCGTAATTTAATTACTATATATATAACTTGCTTTAGGTATTATTATATTACTTTACTAGACATAATAATCAATACGTTTCAGGTTTATATTTTTATGTTGTTTATATGCTACTAACTTATAACTCTAAATTAAATAGTAGGAAATGTGATAACATGCTAGTTAGAAGACTTGTAAATATTTTCTTGTCATAAATTTATGATAAATATTTGTGTGTCATAAAGAGAGTAGTATTATATTAAATATGACTTGAAAACTTACAAAAGTTTGACGTTAATAACTATTGAAACTAGAAATAATATTGAAAAATAATTAGAACATATATTAAAACTACCGTTTCATACTTTATGAGTTTACATGTTTTTGTAACATTCCATGTTCATGCATATAATATACTTTATACTAATTCTTAATCATTTGAAACATAAATTTATCTTTTATTATAAAGAAATTACATCATGTTATTAACTCAACTATTTTATGATAGTTTTCAACATGAAATTTGAATTTGTGGGACTAGACATTTCTGGAAAGAACTATTTGTCATGGGTACTTGATGCTGAAATTCACCTTACCGCTAAGGGTCTTGGTGATTGTATAATCGAAGGAAATAAGGCATCAAGTCAGGATAAAGCGAAAGCTATGATTTTTCTTCGTCATCATCTTGATGAAAGCCTGAAGGTTGAATACTTAACAGTGAAAGATCCACTTGAATTGTGGATAGATTTG